TGGGCTAGTGGGCTACTAAAAATAAGAATAAAAAACAGAAAAATTGCTAAAGTAAATATTATTTCCGTCTCTGTGTTTATTTGTCCAGTTTCATTTTTTCGAGACAAATTAGATGAACTTTAATTTTAACATTAATTTTTTAATAAAATTAAATTGTAGTCTATGAGTTATTTATTAAAAAAAAAAGAATCAAAGAAAATCATGTGGAAAGCCCACAACGTATAGTACTTTAATTCGGTTCTTAAATTAAGTTAGAAGCTAAGCATGCATAATGTCTGTCTACCTTAATTGGAATGATTCCTATATATGTATGGTTCTTATTTTTATTTTTATACTCCGTATTTAATACATACTCCTATTCTATATATGCTGCTTGCACTTTAAGCTTGTTCAAAACCTTTCTACATACTCCATATAGCATAATATATAGTTCATTTAATTAATCATAATTATAACTTTTATATTTGTTTTGAATCTTTTGTGATACCAAGTATATTAAAAGTTGAATGCATTCTTTTACAAGTATTACATTTTACTTTGTGGGCATACACAGTTCAATACAGTTGCTCATATATTATCGGCTGGAACTGCTACGTTTCAGAATGTTGTTTCCTGGGAGTGTACATCACTAGACTGTATTGTTCATCTTATTTCTTCTGAATGAAATTATGGATGATTTCTTTCAAAAAAAAGGCGAATGAATTTACATGTACATACGTTAATTATATTTACATTCATTTTTTTAATGTTATAAAAAATTAATAACGAAAGTTTAAAAAAACACAACGAAATGAAGAAGTATCCCCTTTGGGATTTGCTAGATGCACCTCAGGTTTGCATCACCTTCTCACAGACACTCATTGTCTTTGTCTGTATTTTACACAGACAGTGAGTATCTGTGTGTGTCTGTGAGAAGGCAGTGTACATTTGGGGTACACCACCCGGGTACCTCTAGATTTTTCCATTCCTTTTTTCTTTCAATTTGTACTTAGCTTTGATTGGTGAACTAACATAACTACCTTAGTTTCTAGAAGGCAGATGAAAGTAGGTACAGTTAACTAGTGACAAAACAAAAACAAGAAGGAGAAAATAAATAAAAAAATCATAAATGCATGTGGGTTGTCTATGTGTGGACCAATTATATGGAGCATGCAGCATGCCACAGCAGTGTTTGTGATGGAAAATATATGCTCTGAGCAGTGATTCTGATCTCTTTATACGTAGTAATTTGTTGTGTTTTGAAATTTTGATTTTGAAACCATCAATAATTCAAGATTATTTGTTGAATTTCTGCATGCATTTAGCAAAACAAATAAAGTCAAAATATACTAAAAGCACAATCCAATTTTGTAAATTAAAGTCCACTAGTGTCATGAGTCATGACCCCATTGAGAGTGTGCATGCCCATATGACAATTGACAATGTTGTGTTGCTTCTATTTTGAGTATTTTGGTGTAATTCAAATTTTGTTTCACTTTAAATTTTTTATTGTAGTCTAGTTGTTATTATTATGAGGAGTAAAGTGCATTGTTTACCCCCGTAATCTTTAGAAATTGTATGTTTTACCCTTGAACTATAAAAATTGTACCGTTTACCCTTGAACTCCTCGAAAATTGCACGATTTACCCCTGCATACTAAAAAATGCACCAAATATCCTTGAACAAATTAAACTGTTGCATCATTGGTCCTAAACTATTAGATAGGGAGTGCGTTGCTTCCACGCACAACAATTGCGAATATGATTCATCTGGCTCTTGTGAATTTTCCAAAGTATTTTTCCCCAAAATTGTCGTCTTTATTTAAATGTTCAGGAGTAAACAGTACAATTTTCGAAGAGTTTAGGGATATTTGGGGAAATTTTTATTGTTCAGAGGTAAAGCGTGCAATTTCTGAAGAATTCAGGGGTATTTGGTGCACTTTTTAATGTGCGGGGGTAAACCGTGCAATTTTTAAAGAATTCAAGGGTAAACGGTGCACTTTTTTCTTATTATGAGTGGTGAGGCAAAATAGAATAGCACTTAAGATAAAGATTAAAGACGATGTCAATATAACGTTAATAATGTCATTTGGTTGATACTCTTTAATCAATAAATGTGGCCTTTTAAGACTCTTAACATCTGAATCATCGCTTAGTGGGTCTAGACAATCATATCTAATCTTATACTTCCTCCCTCCCTCTAAGATCTTCTCATTTTGACTTTATGTGGTTTTCAAGGAGAGTTGAAAAAAGGTGAAAGTTTACCATAATACCCTTAATGAAAATGGGTGGAGAGTATTAAATAAGGTGGGTGAGGTGTAATAAATAAAGTAAGTGGGGGTAGTTGTGGTATTTTAATTATTAAAACATGAAATGAGAAGATCTATTGTGGACAAAGAAAAAGAGCTATTGGAAAGATCTATGGAGGACGGAGGGAGTAATTACTTTCGGTGTTGTCAAACGTGTGCGTGTGTTTCATTCCACAATTGGAAATCTTCAATTTGAGCCCATGTTATGGTAGTAAGTTGTTGGGATTCATTCCACATTGGAAAAATAATATAAACACTACTTCCATATAAAGAAAAAAGCGAAACACTACCCATTAGCTTAAACTTTTTGAATAGAAAGTAGATCCCGACTTTATATGGGTAAGTGATAAAATTACTCAATACTCTGCCCAGTTCACTCGGCCCACCAAAATTCCAACATGGTATCGAAGCCAAGTTTGGTTCGGGTTCAATTCATCCTGGTATTCATCGAACTAACTATAAAGAGATTGAGATGCTAGATTCATCCATTCATGCAAGTAGTAACTAGACCAAACTAGTTACCACGTACTTGAAGAGGGGTGTTGGGATTCATCCCACATCAAAAAAATAATTCTCCCCCCGTCCCCTAGTTTAACAGGTGAAAACTGAAAACCTTGACAAGTAGATTCGTGAAACTGAGTAGTTTAAGAGAGTTACACATTCGGATTTATATCAGTACACACTAGAACAAACTAAACAGAATTGTATATCTAATAATTATATATTAAAAATATTAAAAAATTATATGTTTAATGTTCTATTTTACCTAATTTCTTCACGTAACCTAGGTGTATAAAAATGAAAGTGGACAAATACTCTGGGACGGAAGGAGTATAAACACTACTCTCATATAAAAAAGGTGAAGCATTATCCATAGCTCCAGCGATTATTCACTTTTGATGTTTCTCTTGAATGGGTTTTTCCCGAACAATATTGATCCACCATAGCTTACTATCCACTCCTAATAGTTTGTTGCACCCTCCGTCCCATAATTGATTACCATATTTACCATTCTGAAATCACAGTAAATCCTGTTTATTGGTGTATTTTCATTTACTTCTTCCGTCCACAAATAAACTTTACATTACGCGTTACGATATTTGACTGAAGTTATTTTCAAATCATTTTTATATGAAAAATGGTGTAGAATTGAAAAATAAAAATTACATATTAAAAAACTATATCAAAATATCTACAAAACTAGAGGTGACATGATTATATTATTTTATCAAATGGGTGACGAAAATAGGCCAAAAAAGTAAATAAAGTTTGACCCTGTGAATAGTGAACGTAAAGTTTATTTGTGGACGGATGTAGTATTATTTAATGATGTAGATTTAGTGGAACGAAGGACTATGGCTAAAAGACTATGATATAGAACGAAAGACTATGGTGTAGATTTAATGGAACAAAAATTTAATTGTTAATCTTCCACCATCCCTTTAAAAAGGACAAAAATGTCATTTTTGTTGCATCACATTTTCTTTCTTATCACTTTTTATCATCACCCAAACGAATATTACTCTATCTTATTTCTATTTTCTCTTCCTTTTTTTCTTATCATTTTTTTTCCCATCATTTTCTTTTCTTCCATTGTCTTTTTCTCATCCAAACAAAGGGTTAATCTCTTCTAGGGGTGGATAAGAATCTTGAATGAGTTGTCACATTCTGAAATGTCTTGATTCTATTTTAATAATGTCTCGTACTACTTGGATTCAGTGGCGGATCCAGAATATTAGATAGTAGGGGTCACTTTTGGGGTGTTCGGGTGCAACGCCCCCAAAACTTTTTATATACATGCAATGCGAAACTTTAAAAAATAACGAATTTACCCTCAAACAGTTACTAATAATAATAAAAAAATAAAAAAATCATTCTTTTATTTAATACCAATATTATAAATTAGTTTAGTTATTACTCCGTATATTTTTAGTGTACTACTTAAGAATTTATCTTTAGACTTTTAAATATTTCACTTTAAAATTATATTCATTTAATATTTAAATATTCAACTTCTCTCATTCTTTTCTTACTTAACACTATTAATTGAGGTCTCTAATGCTTTCAGTTGAGATCTCTAATATTTCTAGTTGGGGTCATAAATTACATGACTCTAAGAGACATTGAAAAAATATTAAGTATCACAATACATATGATTAAAAAAACTTAAAAATAGTAGGGGGTCATTGCCCCCAACTACTATAATATGGATCCGCCCTTGCTTAGGATTGGTAATTTTTTTTTCTTAAACCCGTTGTGAACCGGTTTAAAAGGGAACGTGATCGAGACAAATAAATTTTTTCTTGTTTCATCGCATTGTCTCATTATAGATGTAAAATACATAAATATACTCTCCTCCGTCACATAAACTCCTTGCTGTTTTGATTTTTTATTTAAATAATTGCACGCTTTGATCACAAATTGTGAAAAATTATATTTATTTATGATATAGGTTTAATATAATTAGGTTCACATTAGGATATAGATTTGATAAAAAAGTTAAAAAATGAAAGAATATATGGAACGGAGGAAGTGCTTTTGGTAAAATGAATTGGTCAAGGATTAAAAAACAAAATGATGACTTTATCCAAAAAAACAAACAAACACAATGATGAGAATGATCACATTTCAACCAAAAGAGGGTTGCATTCCGATCTGTATCCACCCGGATCCATTGATCAATGCGTTCCCGTGAGACTTACTGTGATTCCAGACAACTGGACTGGAAGACAATTATATTAGTCTTTGCAAATATCAGGTGCAGGTTCTACTCTTTGTCACTAATCTGAGATCAAAGTCTAATTTATCTTCTCTCAGTAACCGTCCGATCGGTTCTAAAGGAGCCTTTGGTGACGGAATTAATTCTTTTTTTAATTGATCAATGAGTTCCCAAACAGTAGGGGCATGTGATTATGTGAAGTAGCCCAGTCACTTCAGTGGATCTCGATTGCTCTCTGTCTCTGTTGATTTCCTCTAATCCTCTTTCTTTAATCCGGGCTAATCCTTTTTTCTTTTCTTTAATCCTCTTTCTTTAGGTTGACCCATTCACAATAATGCGGTAATAACCACTGAGGTTAATCTTCCCACCACACTATTCTCCCACCATCTAGTGGGATCCATCCTGCTTCTTCCCAGGTACCACTTTCTTTATCCTATACAGATTTTAATGAACACATAATCCCAGTTGTGTTTTTTTTTTCAATTTATTTGTGTTCTGGAGCATAAAGATTTCATTTTTCATCTCAATTTCATTACTATTTTCCTGTTAAAGACTATGTTTGATATACTTAATGTGCACTTGAGGTGCTTTTTTCCATTTTTCTGCTTCTTCTCTGTTCACCATCTGATCTTAAAAGAAATGCATTGTGACATTTCTGGGTTCTTGAATCTGGAATGTAGTGATTGTCATTTCTATGTTTGGAAGGATTGGGACAATATTGTAGGGTTTAACTTGATCAATGTGTTCTTGAATTTTGTCTTTGCAATGCTTGGACAAGTAGAGAACTTGGATTAGGGTTCTTGTTTTCTTGAAGATTAGATGGCCATGGATGGAAATTCAAGTGGTTCTTGCCAGAACACTTCTGGGTTCGAACTACAGGACGAAATGGTGAAGCTTTACCTCAATGGAGAAGCGAATGATGACGCCAAGAACGTAGGCAACGAAGGCCTAAATCAAAATTCTTGGAACAAACAGAGCTTTGATGGTCATGAGGACTATGATTTTAGTGACTTGGTGCTGAAGTACATTAGCCAGATGCTAATGGAAGAGGATATGGAAGAGAAGGCTTGCATGTTTCAAGAGTCCCCCGCCCTCGAAGCGACCGAAAGGTCTTTCTATGAGGCCATAGGCGAGAAATACCCGCCATCCGCTGATCAAAAGGGTAGTTTTGGTAATGGCAATGTCGGCGATTGTGATTTGAAGTCATGCCCGAATCGGGACCGTGATTCTCTGTCATCCCTCGGTTCATCATCCAATAGCTTACAGCTCATGAAAGAAGGGTCAAAAGGGAAGAAAAATGTGCACTGTGAAGAAGAAGAAGAGAAAGATTCAGATAGAAATTACAAGCAACCAATGGTCTCGTCACAATCGACCGTTAAACAAGAAGTGTTCGACATGATTTTACTGTCGAGCGACAATGGAAATGAGTCTGATCTTCGTCAGTCTTGGCATCCGAAAGGGTATAAAGAGAAGAGTTCCCGGGGTAGGAAACCAAAGAACGCCAAAAGAGACGAAGTCGTGGACTTGAGAATGCTATTGATGCATTGCGCGCAAGCGGTTGCTTCCTATGACCAAAAGACTGCGGACGAGTTTCTGAAACAGATCAGAAGACACTCGTCCCAGACGGGGGACGCGATGCAGAGGCTGGCCCACTACTTCGCCGACGGGCTCGAGGCACGGATGGCGGGTTGTGGGACCCACATATACAAGACCCTCATCACGATGCCCACGTCAGCATCCGACATGTTGAAAGCGTTCCAACTCTTCGTTGCCGTGTGCCCGTTCAGGAAGATCTTGTACTCTTTCTCTAACAAAACGATCATGCATCTAATATCCCGCGATGCCACGTCGCTCCACATCATCGATTTTGGCATTCTTTATGGCTTCCAATGGCCGAGCTTCATACAACGTCTCTCGTCTAGGCCCGGTGGGCCCCCGAGGCTCCGTATGACCGGCATTGACTTCCCGCAACCCGGGTTCCGGCCCGCGGAGCGGGTTCAGGAAACGGGCCGACGCCTGGCCGACTACGCGAAACGTTTCAACGTTCCGTTTGAGTTCAATGCCATAGCCCAGAAATGGGAAACGCTTAAGCTCGAAGATCTCAACGTAAACAAGGGCGAGTTACTCGCGGTGAATTGCCTATATAGGCACACATACTTGCTCGACGAGACCGTGGTTTCGGGCAGCCCGAGGGACGCGGTTTTTCGCCTAATCCACAAGTTGGACCCAAGCGTCTTCATAACGGCCACCATTAACGGGTCTTACAACGCCCCGTTTTTCATCACGCGTTTTAGGGAGGTGCTTTTCCACTACTCGTCCTTGTTTGACATGCTCGAGGCGACCACGCCGCGCGGGATTCGCGAGAGGATGCTCCTTGAGAAGGTGTTCTTTGGGAGGGAGGCAATGAATGTGATTGCGTGTGAGGGCGCCGAGAGGATCGTGAGGCCCGAGACGTACAAGCAAACCCGGGTTCGGAACATGCGACTCGGCTTTCGCCAGCTCCCTTTGAACGAGAAAATCGTGACGATGTCGAGGGAGCATATGAAGGCGTACCATAAAAATTTTGTGATTGACGATGACGGAGAGTGGTTGTTCCTTGGATGGAAGGGGCGCATTATTTACGCCATCTCGTCCTGGAAAGCGGGATAGTAAACCTTTTTTACAACCTCAAGAAGTTGTGGGGTTTTTTTTAACCTTAGTTTTGGCTCTCATTGTTGTCTTTACTATAACTATATCATGGAGGTAAAGGTAAAGGTAAAGGATGTGTTTGGATACTATATATACTACTAGTGTAACTACTTGTACGTTGCGTGATTAAGTTGTTTTCTAATTACACAAATTGTTTGGACACCAAAGTTTAGATACAATGTAATGCAAGTGTCTCTTTGTGCTTTTGGTTACGCAAATGTGTTATTGTGTGCATATATTAAAAAGTTTGTTTAATTTCCGTCTTGACTTAAATGGTAGGAAGTTCATCCCCTAAAATTCACGAGAAAGTTATAACCCATGTTCGAGCTCCAACGGAGGCAAATGCATTGACTCATTGTACGTCATTAGGTTGAGAGAATATTATGAACAAACACTGCATTGTAATCGAGTCAATATCTCTAAAAAATATTTGATTCCGATTGCTTTATTTGGGCAAACAAATAGAGTAGTTTATAATTTTAAGTGACGAGTAAATTTATTGAAGTGCGGTATATGTGTGATGTGTACATTTAGCATTTTTCTATTAAGGTTCTGTTCGTTTGGATTGTAAAAACAAATTTAGATGTTAAAAAACTTAATACAGGGTATTACATTCACAATCCCATTGAGCCTTGTATGGAGGCGCCCACGGTTGGCGTTCCACCTTACGTAATCAAGATATCAATCATAAATGATGCCAAAACACCTTACACTTTCTCAATCATTTTTTAAGGGTAAAAAGCTCATAGGATCCTTATATATTTTGAAAGTGTTTCCCAAGTTTCTGAATTATTTTAAGTACTTACTAGATTTCTATATATTTTTTTAAAGTACTTCATAGGTCCCTAAATTATTTTTAGTTTCTACGAGTATCTGATGCATATACTTTCTAACTGGTGCATTAATGGTCCATTTTGTGGTATTCTTCAGATCAAGTGAAAATTATTTGAGTAACACGCACAAGTTATTCAAAAATTTATGATATAACATCAATTTTTACAATAATTTCAGAAGGCTTATTCAGAAAAAAACACTAAAGGAACCACTAAGGCACCATTTAAAATAAATAATGGATCGGACAAATACTTAAAACAATTTAGAGGCCTATGAAGAACTTTCAAAAAAAAAATATTGAGACCTTATAAGCACTTAAAATAATTTAGAAATTTGAGAATCACTTTTAAAAAATTATAGAAATCTTGTAACCACTTTACCCATTTTTAAATTACTTTTATACTCTCTCTCTCCCTCTTATGTTTTCAATCACTTTTTTATACTTTCTTCATATCTTTTCATTAATTAAATTAAAAAATAATAATCTTCACAAAGTTAACTCGGGCCTTTTGAGAAAGGAGGGAGTATATTATTGAGAGAAATATATAGATATGAGTAAAAAAATGATAATATCCAAATAGAAGCCTTAAATCTTTTAAGGTCAAAATAAAAAGTTTACAATTTCATTGTTACATTGCCAGACTTACTACATTGTCACATTGCAGTTGTCACATTGTCATTGTTATACTCTCAGCCATCGTGCGGCCGACATTAACCGGTGGTCCACTGGCAGTTGACTAATTTTACTCCATCGCTCCAAAAAAAGCCTCCCAATTGGTTTTGGCATAAAATTTAAGAAAAATAAATTTGTGTGGTAAAAAACGATATAGAAGAGCGAAAAAATGTTGGGTCATACAAAATTTGTCAAAATAGAAAGAGGTGTCTTTTTTAGACATCCCAAAAAAATTGTTTAGGTCCATTTTTGGAACATATAAAATATTACACTGTCATCATTTTTCTATCACACTATCCTAATTGTTACATCATATTGTCATTACACTTATATTTAAATGATTAAACTATGTGTCTCCTATTTTGTTTTTTAGTTAAAATTTATGGATTATGCTATGTGTACCCCAAGGTTTATACCCCAATTTGTACCCCGCAGTTTTGCACCAACACTTTGTGTTGGTGTAAAACTATTTTTTGTTAAACGCACCAACATTTGTGTCCATGTGAATTTTTATTAACGCACCAACACTTGTGTCGGTGTAAACTATCGAAATGTTTGTGCAAACCTGTGGTGTATAGGAGTGTAAACGAATCGAATCGAAGCGAATACCGATATATTTGAATTTGTATTTGTTTAATTTTTTCGAATACGAATCCCTTAGGCTTATACTCTGCTTAAGTTTTATTCTAAACTTATTCATAAACTAATTATAAGCTTATCAATAGCTTAGTATTTGCTTATAAACTTATTAGTATGATACATTAAATATACTACCTGGTTGTAGTTAAACAAATTTAACTTACGATACTCTTTATACTATACTATATTCCGTATATAAAAACATTAATACATTTGAATCTTACACAAATTATATTTTATAAAATATAACTATTAAAAATCATATGCTTTAGATTTTCGTGTGACGTTAATTTATTGAATTCTTAGTATTTTAAATACACTTTATACTATATTACTTTGCTTGACTTTTGATGTTGAAAACATGGTCTGTGTATATATACATATATTCGAATATCATCCGAATCGAATATATCCCTATTTGTATTTGTATTTGATTAATATTCGAATAAAAAATAATATTTGAATTTGAATTTGTATTTGAATAACGTGAATTCGAATCATCATATTCGAATACAAATCGCGAATCGAATTTAAAATATTTGATTGTATACTTTTTGGTGTAAGTGTAGCATAGTCCAAATTTTATTCCTATATTGGAAGCAGCCCTCTTGGTCTGTCTGTTGATCATAACAATGAAAATAGCTCCTCATCGCAGCCATTGAGGTTCAGATGGCATTCAACGGCTGTGATTTCCTCTCATCCTCTTGCTTTAAATGTTAGGGACACCATAATTATCAATGAGATTTATCTTCCCAGCACTATTCCTCCCATCTTCTCTGGACCAACCAAACATCTTTCCCAGGTATCCCTTTCTTTATTATCCTATACAGATTTTAGTATAATTTCGTATACAAACACATAATCCCAGTTTTGTTTTTTCGCTTTATCTGTGTTCTCGAGCATAAAGATTTCATTTTCTCAGCTCAATTTCATTACTATTTCCACTCAAAGACTATTTTTTGATATATTTCAGTATTTCATTTCATATTTCCACTCCTTGCAATTATTAATGTTGACATGAAGTTAGTTTATTACATTTTTCTGTGTTTGGAATGATTGGGGATGTTGCCGGGTTTGATTATTGGGTTGTTGAATTTTGTTATTGCAGTGCTTGGACAAGTAGAGAACTTGGATTAGGGTTCTTGTTTTCTTGAAGATTAGATGGTCATGGATAGAAATTCAAGTGGTTCTTGTCAGACCACTTCTGGGTTTGAACTGCAGGATGAAATGGTGAAGCTTTACCTCAACCAAGAAGCTATCAGTGGTTTCGACCCGAATTCTATAGCCAAGAATGTAAAATACGAAGGCCGGATTCCGAATCCGTGGAGCGAACAGAGCTTTGATGACTCCCAAAATTCGAATTCTGAATGCTTCCCGTCTTACGGGCATCCGAATCCGATCGACGGGTTAAACTGCGGTGATGTTCAAGAGGACTATGATTTTAGTGATTTGGTGCTGAAGTATATTAGCCAGATGCTAATGGAAGAGGATATGGAAGAGAAGGCTTGCATGTTTCAAGAGTCCGCCGCCCTCCAAGCGGCTGAACGGTCTTTTTATGAGGTCATCGGCGAGAAATACCCGCCATCCGCCGATCAAAAGGGTAGTTTTGGCAATGTCAATGTCGGCGATTGTGATCTGAAGTCATCCCTGAATTGGGACCGCGGTTCTCCGTCGTCCCTCAGTTCATCATCCAGTAGCTTATGGGCTGTAATTGATTCACCCGTTAGTACCCTCCCGATCCCCGGCAGACCGGGTTACGGTGAATCCGTGGTACAGACTGTACAGCTCATGAAAGAAGGCTTAAAGGGGAAGAAAAATGTGCATTATGATGAAGAAGAGAAAGATTCAGATAGGAGTTACAAGCAGTCGGCGGTCTCATCACAATCGACCGTTAAACCAGAAGTGTTCGACAAGGTTTTACTGTGCAGCGGCGGTAAAAATGAGTCTGATCTCCGTCGATCTTGGCAGAGTGTTTCCGGTAAAAATGCAGGGGATAACAATGGCCATCAGAAAGGGTATAAAGGGAAGAAACCCTTTTGGAAGAGAGAAAACAGCGGCGAAAGAGACGAAGCGGTGGACTTGAGAGCGCTGTTGACGCATTGCGCGCAAGCGGTTGCTTCCAATGACCGGAGGGCTGCGGACGAGTGTCTGAAACAGATCAGAAGACACTCGTCCCAAACGGGAGACGGGATGCAGAGGATGGCCCACTACTTCGCCGACGGGCTCGAGGCCCGGATGGCGGGTTGTGGGACCCACATATACAAAGCCCTCATAACGATGCCCACGTCAGCGTCCGACGTGCTGAAAGCGTACCAACTCTTCCTAGCCGCATGCCCGTTCAGGAAGATCTCGAACTTCTTCTCCAACAAAACGATCATGAATCTCATTCCCCGAGATGCCACGTCGCTCCACATCATCGACTTCGGCATTCTTTACGGCTTCCAATGGCCTTGCTTCATACAACGTCTCTCGTGCATGCCCGGTGGGCCCCCGAGGCTCCGTATAACCGGAATCGACTTCCCGCAACCCGGGTTCCGACCCGCCGAGCGGGTCGAAGAAACGGGCCGACGCTTGGCCAACTATGCGGAACGTTTCAACGTCCTGTTCGAGTTCAATGCCATTGCCCAGAAATGGGAAACGGTTAAACTCGAAGATCTTAATATAACCAAGGGCGAGTTACTCGCGGTGAATTGCCTATATAGACTCAAAAACATACTCGACGAGACCGTGGTTTCGAACAGCCCGAGGGACGCGGTCTTGGGCATGATCCACAAGCTGAAACCGGACGTTTTCGTGATGGGGACCGTTAACGGGTCCTACAGTGCCCCGTTTTTCACCACGCGCTTTCGAGAGGCCCTTTTCCACTACTCGTCCGTGTTTGACATGCTCGAGGCGACGGCCCCGCGCGAGGTTCACGAGAGGATGCTCCTCGAGAAGGCGTTGTTCGGGAGGGAGGCGATGAATGTGATAGCGTGTGAGGGCGCCGAGAGGATCGAGAGGCCCGAGACGTACAAGCAGAGTGGGGCCCGGAACGCGCGGGCGGGGTTCCGACAACTCCGCTTGGACGAGGAAATCGTGAGGATGTCGAGGGAGCGTGTTAAGGTGTACCACAAAGATTTTATGATTGACGGGGACGGGAAGTGGTTGTTCTTGGGATGGAAAGGGCGCATTATTTACGCCCTCTCGTCCTGGAAGGCGGGGTAGGAAATGACGAGATCGGCCCTGTTCGTTACCGGTCTATCCTTTTTTACAACCTCAAGAAGTTGGGGGTATTTTTGGCCTTAGTTTGTGCTCTCATTGTTTGTTTGCCTGTGGGCATGACTATAACTTTGTAGAATTCCCATATTTCAGAGAAATATTATTGCCTTTGTGATGACAGGGGGTAAACTTTAAGGGTTTGTTTGGATACAAGTGGTAGTTACTCGTAGGTTGTGTAATTAGACGGTTTTGTAATAGCAAAAATTATTGTTTGGAAACCCAAAGTTTAAATACAATCTAATGTAATTATGTCTTTGTACTTTGGTTGCACAAATGTGTACATTAGTATAAAATGCTTTTGTCGTAGGCAAATTTGAGCATGTTATTACACTAATTCAGACTGCATTGAATTACACTGACTTTTACTCAATTGAATGGATTGTACTCGGTAACAGTCCCCCGTCCCAATTTAAATCGTCTGTTTTGAGTGAAGATGTTTTTAAATCATTTTATATAAAATTGGATATCAAAAGATCAAAAAAAAACTAGTAGTGACATGACTATATTGTTTATGAAATGACTAACGAAAATAGAAAAATAAAGTGAATGAAGTTTGATCATGTAAATTCTAAATATGCAATTTAATTTGAGATGGATGAAGTGTAATTTATGGGCGGATTAATATTGAATTAAATCAGAAATCAAAACATGCGTAAGGCCACAATCTAGCTACTCATTACAGAATAAACCATGATTTTGATTTTACAAATAATAGTAATGACATCTACCGATTCGTGATCAAAATACATCATCTCATTCGCTCTGTTAGCTTATTCGGATACGTGTATAATACGTTTATTCGTACGTTCGTGTATAATACGGGTCACATTTTAAAAATACGTCTTATTATACACTTTATACGTTCGGGGTACGTATATGGATACGTTCGTGTTTTATACGTTTGATTTTTGAAAAATACGGCTTATAGTTAATACAAATATTTTTAGTAAGAAAGACATTTTTGTCATTGAATTTGAATAAAAATACACCATTAATAATCTTTTACGCAAATAATGTTGTTGCTTACTACTCCCTCCGTCTCCAAATAAACATCCCCTTTAGTTTTTTCTTTGTCCCTAAATAAACTTCTCTTTTCCCTAAAAAAATCTCTTTTGCCTCTTACTTTTTCATACCCTACTTATCACATTATACCTTTTTACTAATAATCTACATATCACATCTTACTTTTACACATCACATCAAGGGTATTTTTGGAAAGTCAACACAAAAATGTCACTCCCTTAAATCCTCAAAAAGTCAAAAAGGGAAATTTATTTGGGGACGGAGGGAGTATTTTTTAGAGCACTAGAAGTGTTGGACTCCCAACCAGATGTAGTTGAAGAAACTGGTAGACCATGAATGAGATTTAATTAACAAAAGACGTTGGTGAATTACTTGGACCTGCATTCTTGTTCTAATACTTT